ACCCTCTCCTCGCGGAGCTCCTTGCGGAGGTAATTTCCCTAAGTAAGGCCGGGGTAGCGAGGGGTCGGCGCCCGGGAAGGCCTCGCTATTGTCGCAGATAAGGCTGGTCATGAAATCAGAAGTTATTGTAATTTGCAACCAACGACTCGTCACTCGCATGCCATTACCTGATTACCACTTCCTGTCTCCGTGATTATTATGTTTATTGGGTGCGCGTGCGCGTGTCTTGGGGGTGCGTTTGCTCTGCTTGCCTGTGTGTGCTTGGTTGTCCGATATTTCTGCGTCTGTCTGTATATGTGTGAGTGTGTGTGTTTGTGTGTGTGTGTGTGTGTGTGTGTGTGTGTGTGTGTGTGTGTGTGTGTGTGTGTGTGTGTGTGTGTGTGTGTGTGTGTGTGTGTGTGTGTGTGTGTGTGTGTGTGTGTGTGTGTGTGTGTGTGTGTGTGTGTGTGTCGCACACGTACATGCATACACGCGCATGCACACATAAATATGCTCACATGCGTATTTATATGTGTATGCACACACGCATATGCACACAGGCACATTCATATGTATATGCACATTCATAAAATGCACATACAAGTGCGCATGCACGTACAGACACACAAGCGTGCACGCATGGATGCAGGAGAGAGAGAGGAAGAAAGAGAAAAAGAGGGGTGAGAAATAGAGAGAGGGAAAGAAGGAAAGAGGGAGAGGGAGAGAAAAATAGAGGGAGAGAGGGAAAGAGAGAGGGAGAGGGAGAAAGAGAGATGGAGAGGGAGAAAGAGAGAGGGAGAGGGAGAGGGAGAAAGAGAGAGGGAGAGGGAGAAAGAGAGAGGGAGAGTGAGAAAGAGAGAGGGAGAGTGGGAAAGAGAGAGGGAGAGAGGGAAAGAGAGAGGGAGAGGGAGAGAGGGAAAGAGAGAGAGAGAGGGAGAATGACAATCGTCAGTGAGTCGTGCCAGCCAGTTAAAAATCGTTTTCCATCAACTTTAAAGACTTATTGACTTGTTGAGCAAGAAAGAATCCGAACAAGGCTCAATTATCTGTAATATTGACCGGGATTTTAATGTTTCTTTTGATAGCGAAGACCTACGGGTAAATATCGCCCCGGTTCGATTATAAGTCCTGAGTCTTGCCCTCCTTCGCCGGAGAGTCGCCCTTATGCCACATGCACGCAAAAGCGGTTCTCCCTCAGCAGCCAGTCGTTATTTACGAATAAAAGTGAAATCTCCTTTGGTTAGATTTACGAGCAACTTACCAATAATAATTGCGATTAGAATCTCGAATGTTATTTTTAATGATCCTTAAAGTTTGGTCATTAGTCATGCCTGTTATGGGCAATAAAGAAACTCAGGAAAGGAGTTTTCGGGAAGGATGGAAGTCGATTTTCTTAGATTTAGAAGAATCCCGTTTCCGTCGCTCGCTCGCTTTCCTTTGCGCGCGTGCTTTGTGTGCGTGTTGCCTGTGTAGGTGGAGATGTTTGTGTGTGTGTGTGTGTGTGTGTGTGTGTGTGTGTGTGTGTGTGTGTGTGTGTGCGCGTGTGTGTGAGTGTGCACGCGCGTGGTGTACTTGTGGTGCTATTTGATTGTGCGTCTGTCTCCGTTGGCGTGCCTAGCCGTGTGCGCGAGTGCGCCGGTGTGTTTACATACATATTTTTTATTAGTGGTGGAAGGGTAATTTACTCTATATCCACTCATCTATCAACGTCTTCCCTTTCCCGTTGTATTTAGATACCGTTTCATTACGTTTCGTATCGCTATCACTAAACTAATGTTCAACTTTTTTTTCATTTGTAGTGCAACGTCTTTCACTCCATCCATCAAAACTTTTTTCTCTTCTATTCCTTTAGTTGTGCTTATCCATAGGAATCTATCGTCATGATATCGAGTGCCCAAGCCCTCCACTTTGATCCTCTCCCTCCCCCCTCCCCCTCTCCTACCCCTTTGACCCTCCCCTCCCTCCCTCCTCCTGCCGTGGGCCATTCCTTCACTATGCACCCCCCCCTTCCCATCCTCCCCCATTCCTCCCTCCTTTCCCTCCCCTATTTCCCTACGTTTTCAAACCCTTCCCCATTCTCCTGTTTTACCTACCAACCCATTGATCGTTGCAATCACAAGTGAAGATAAATATATTTTTTCTTGTTCTCTTTTATCTGTCATTGTACGAAGAGTGTGTTTGCAATGCTCGTGAACTTTTTGTCCCAGTGAAATTTGTCCATCAGTCAGATAGAAATGGAGAGGAGCGTTGAATGTTTGCTGGTGATGTAGTGTTTAATTCTTTAGTTAATCTTGCAAATGGCCGGATTAGTTGAGGATAGATTGCGAGAGCTCAGAGATTTGCTGATTCCCGTCTTCCCCATAATATAAAATGCGATCTCTGTGCGTTTGGCGGACGGGTTCGTGGGACGCGGTCAGGGCGGGGATTGGCGGCAGCTGATGGAGGGTGTGTCGTCTGGCAATATTTTTGTTTTTGGTGTTGTTGTCGTTGTCTAATTATCGTTTGTTTGTTTTCGTTTCAGGGTCGCGGGCCGAGGTGAGAGCGGAGGTGCAGGAGGGCGGAGCGCGGAGGAGGAGCCCAGCAGGACCCGGAGACAGCCCGATCAGCATGAGCGCGACGAGCAAGTGCTGAGCCCCGCCGCCGTGGATCAGCATGGCCGTCATCTACCGTGACAAGGCGTGAAAAAGGCAAGATGGCAGAGGGTGCGGGCGGCGGTCCCGTCCTCCTCCTCCCGGGCCGGCGCGCTCGGCTCACCCGCCCCACCACCACCACGACCTCCACGACGACGGCGGTCACGACCTGCTCACGTCCCGACGCCTCCCGCGGCCAAGGGTCGTCCCCGCTAAAGACTTTTGCTGATAGAGACGCGTTACAGCCACGGGGAATTTGTGTAAATGCCGCGCCGGGAGGAAATGGCGCCGTTAGCTGTCCCGGCCAAGGGGCGCTGGAGGGCCCCGCGCTCCCCCCGGCGGGGCGTCACGCTCATTGTGTCCCTAGACGAGCGCCAGTGCCACCCGTGGGACCGCCCATGCCGCGGGCGTCGCCTTCAAGCACCTGCACTCCCGAGGGCGCCAAGGTGTGCGAGGGCGGAGAGAGAGGCCCCCTGAGGAGCGTCCCGGGGGGAGTCCGTGGGACGCTGAGACGAGGGGGGAGGTGGCCAGGGTGGGGCGGCGCACCTGCGGCCCTCCTGGCGTCCACCTTCCTGCTGACACTCCTGGCCCCCGCTCGCGGATTCGATCTAGGTGAGTACCATGCTAAGCTTGTTGCATTTCCTATTCATTTACTTTTCCTTAAGCCGTTTGCGTCGGTTGATGTACGTGACAGATACTTCTGTATTCTCATCATGTTACAGCACCTGTCATTACGCCAGCACTTCTTGTCTCCCGAGAACTAAGCTGTCGAACCTCATGGCTGACACTGATTCCCTTAGATTACGGCCCGCGACACTCCCCTCAGATCTGTCTTTGCAATTAACAACAACTTTTTAATGTGGACGAAGATTACGGGGTGGAAGGGAGAGGAAGGTAGAGAGTGAGAATGTGTGCGTCGAGTGGAAGAGTTGTAGAACGAAAGAGAGAGAAAGAGAGGGAGGGAATGGGGAGGAGACGAAGGAAGAAAAGACGAGACAAGAAAAATGAGAAGAGGAGAGGAGAAAAACAGAGAGAAAATTTTTAAAAAGCAGTGAGAGGTTGAGGCAAAGCATAAGGTAACAGGAAGCGATACAAGCCCCTTAACACAAAAAAAAACACGGGGACTCCTGGCAGCTGAATGACGAAGGTTTTACGATAATCTGTGATGAGAACTGCGGAAGCGTCATGGGATTGTCACCTTTTTTTGACTTAGAGTGACGCAGGAGACCAGTTCCGGTATATTCTTCCTAATGCCAATAACGAGAGAAAAGGCGAGTTAGAAAGTAAGGGATAAGCCGAAGAAAATTATTATGATATGAATGCTCCCTCCTCGTCAGTCCATCAACTCCCCAGTCCTCCTCAGACCATGGACTCTTCAATATATCCATTCTAATCCTCACTCATCCGCCTCAAGCTTCCTCATCCTCCCTCCCAAATCACCTGCTTCTCCAATCCCCCCCCCCCCCCCGTCCTTATCTCCCTTCCCCCAGGCTCCCCCACCAGTACCCCCTTTCCACATCCACGTTTTATTCTCCCGAGTCATCCTCACTGAAACCTCTCGTCTCCCCAGGTCCCAACTTCCCCCTCTCCATAACCCCCTAACCCCCTCTCCTGTCTTTTCCCTAACCTCCTTAACACTCCTTATTCCCCCCCCAATCCTCCCTTTCTCTTATTTCCCTAGTTCTCTAACTCTCAATTCCTCTCGTCCTCCCTTTACCCCCCCATCTATCAAATACCCCCTAACCCCTTAATCCCCCCCCTCCCTCTCTCTCGTTACACAGCCAATTCCCCTGCCCACACGTCCTCTGACCCCTTCACCCCCTGTCTTAGCTAATTCCCCTCCCCACCGAGTCTCCCTCCAATCTATCACACATTTCCTAACTCACTCCACCCCCTCCCCTAGTGCACCACACATCCCCTACCCCTATCAAACCCCTCCCCGTTCTGGTCAGCCAATTCCTCTCCCTCCAGTCTCCCCCCACATTCCCTAACCCCCTCTTCCTTCCCGCCCAAAGCCGACCAGCGACCCCCCCCCTCCCCCACCCCACCCCCACAAGAGGCCACAATGACGGCAGCAAACACCACATCGCATATTATCCCGGGCCAGAGTCGGGCCGTCAACAGATCTGTCTTTCATGCTCGGCCGAGGGAGAAGGGCCTCCGTATTGTCACGGCCTCTCCTGGGCAAACACGCGGCCCTAGTTTATTGTCAGATACACTCCAGCTCGAAATATTGCTCTCCTTTCTATGTGTTTTTTTCTTTTTTTTTCCTCTCTCTCTCTCTCTCTCTTGGTCTCTCTCTCTCTTTTTTTTTCCTTTTTTTTATATTCCATAGTGATCCTCCAGGTTTGTTTTAATACAGCTGCCCGTGTTGGCGGATTTATTTTTTTTCGTTGTCGTTGCTGTTGTAGTTGTTTCATTTTCGTGTTCGTGGATCTAGAAGTATTTGCAGGAGATGAATGCGAAAGTATTTCTCATAAAGGTTTTGTATTTCTTTTCCCTTCCCGGTGGGGAGGAAAAAGCATGTGACATTATTGATATGCGACAATACTCGTGGATCTTCCGTCTTCAAATAAATATTCATAAGGGGAGGAAAGAGGCGGGGAGGAGGGGAAAGAGGAAGGAGGAGAAGAAGAAGAAGGAGAAGAAGAAGAAGAAGAAGAAGAAGAAGAAGAAGAAGAAGAAGAAGAAGAAGAAGAAGAAAAAGAAGAGGCAGGTGAAGAAGGTGAAGAAGGAGGAGGAGGAGGAGGAGAAGAAGAAGAAGAAGAAGAAGAAGAAGAAGAAGAAGAAGAAGAAGAAGAAGAAGAAGAAGAAGAAGAAGAAGGAAACAAAGCAAGAACAAGAGCAAAGGACGAAGAAGAAAAAAGAGACGGAGAAGGAGAGGGAAAACGAGAAGAAATGAACGAGGGAGAGAAAAAGAAATATAAGATGAAGATAACAAAGAAGATATAGAAATAGGAGGAGGGGATTGGTGATGATGAGGAGACGGAGAAGAATACGTAGCAGGCTGAAGAGGGTGAGAGACGGATAAGAAAGGCATCGAGGGAAGGAAGGGAACAGCTTTCCTAAGAAGTCGATGGCGGGGGCGAGGAGGCCTTATGAAAGGAAGGCGCTTCTGCTCTACCAGTTTCATTACTTGCATATTTCGTCTATCTACAATACACGTTCCATCTACTTAAAAAGAGGATGTGTATATTCCCACTACGTTTCAGTTATTCATATATTTTCCTCACTTCGTTTCATTCAGAAGTCGTACTATAGCGACATTTCAAGTTTTATTTAGAAGTCGTACTATAGCGACATTTCTAGTTTTATTTAGTTTGACGTAGAATTGGGAATGGCGTGTCCCCCCCCCGATCAATGTGTTATTATTCTAAATTCCTTTTTCTTTTCTTTTCTTTATTTATATTTACGGTTTTTGAGGAATGAGCATCGCCGATAATGCATCACGGACTCAATGTGCATATTTTTGGCATGTAGCAGGAAAGGGATATTTCTAAGAAATTAGAACATGATGGCGTCTCCTCGGCGGCTGTGTTTTTTTTTCTTTTTTTTTTTACTTTTCTAATATCGAATATCAATACTAATTTAGGTTATTTTTTGGCTGTGATTTGGTCACAATGAGGAGACGGCATTATTGGCGATGTGGATCTGATCCTCATTTTCACTTGTATTGTTTATTGGTCAAGGTGAGGATGGAATTAGTGTCTAGAAAGCAGGATGGAAATATGCGAATGTGTATCATTACATTTTTCTTATCATTTTCTTGTTCAGGAATTTATTTATTCGGATTAGTCGGTAATGGCTTTTTTTTGCCGCCATCATCTATTTATTTTCTTTACTTCTCTTTTTCTTTCTTTTTGCTTTCTTCCTTTCTTTTTCTTTTTCTTTCTTTCTTCCTCTTCTCATCTTTTTGTTCGTCATCAACTTCTTCTGTCTTGTGGCTATCCGTATATTGTGTTCTTTACTCCTCCCTTTTCCCTTCCCTTCCCTCCCCTTCCCTCTTCCTTCTTCCGTCTTCCCTCTCCCCCTTTCCCCCTCCCCCCTTCCCTCTCCCCCCTTCCCCCTTCCCCCTTCCCCCTTCCCCCTCCCCCCTTCCCCCTCCTCCCCCAAGATGTCGATACCGGCGGTGGAAATATACGATGGTAATGTAACTTTCGTCATTGCTGTGCATTATTTAGGTGTTGCGTGGCATAGATGGCATTCAGATACCGTGACTCCAGGTTTTCTTTCTCGCTTTCTCTTTCTTCTCCCTCTTCTTCTTCTTCCTCTCTCCCCCCACCCTCTCTCTCTCTCTCTCTCTCTCTCTCTCTCTCTCTCTCTCTCTCTCTCTCTCTCTCTCTCTCTCTCTCTCTCTCTCTCTCTCTCTCTTTCACAGGAACTTTTCATAGTATGTCTCTTCCTTCCATTCCTCTTGTTATTCATTTGTTCATTTCTACGGCTTTTTCGTTTTTCCCGATATCTACTACCTTTTTTTTACTGTATTTTTTATTATTATTTTATTTCTATTTCCTTTCCCCTATCTCAGTGTCTCTTCTTTCGTGACATCTAACTTTACAGAGAGAGTAGGGGAGAAGAATGAAAGGAGAGGGAGAGGGGATAATAAGCATTAGAAAAAAGGCGATAGAGCGATGGATAGATAGGTTGATTGAATAAATGGATATATATATATATATATATATATATATATATATAGAGAGAGAGAGAGAGAGAGAGAGAGAGAGAGAGAGAGAGAGAGAGAGAGAGAGAGAGACAGAGACAGACAGACAGACAGACACACAGAGAGACAGACAGACAGACAGACAGAAAGAAAGAGACCGGGACAGACACCGAGACAGAGAGGGACAAAGAGATAGAGAGAGAGGGAGAAAGACAGAAAGAAAGAAATAGAAAGAGAGGGAAAAAAAGAGCCTGAAATCAACGAAAGAAAAAGGAAAGAACAGCGCGCGGGAGATCGAGAGCGATAGAGAGCGCGAGGGAAAGCGAAAGAGAGAGATAGTGACCGCCATCACGAGCTCCTCCCCAATACAGACGAGCAATATCCTGATCGGCCTCCCTCGACAATGGGGTAAGCGGTCCTCCAAACACGCGCGCCCACGATATGAGCCTCGGCCCGCCCCTCCGCCCGCCCAGGTGGTCAGGGCGGGCGTCGGCGTGCGGGCGGGGGTTTGTTTGTTGGTTGGTTGGTTTGTGTAAGTGTGTTTTATTGATATATTTGTTCATTTGTTCATTCACTATTTATATTATCGTTTTCTATTTATTTTATTTATTTATATTTGATGTTTGTGTGTGTGTGTGTGTGTGTGTGTGTGTGTGTGTGTGTGTGTGTGTGTGTGTGTGACAGAGAACACATGATTATAGGCAAGAGAGAAAACACAAACCTTAACACCAGAGAGAGAGAGAGAGAGAGAGAGAGAGAGAGAGAGAGAGAGAGAGAGAGAGAGAGAGAGAGAGAGAGAGAGAGAGAGAGAGAAAGAGAGAGAGAGAAAGAAAGGGTGGGGGGGGGGAGCTGTCAACCAGATAACCAGGCGGATTCAAATTGAACGCAGCAACAGAACCAGAAAAAAAAGAGAACGTGCAAGCAAATAGATGAATAAATAGACGGACGAATG